CATCCCCTCTCTCGTCCCTCCTTGCGCGTGCAGGGATTTTGGAATAAGAATCATCCGTTGTCGAGACACTGTCGTGCTTTTTCATGCGGAGGTGCGAACGGAGGGTGTTGAATGGACAGAAGAAGCACCCTCCTCTCTCCTCCTCCCCCACCGCGCCCCGCCCCGCCACGCCCCGCCACACCCGTGAGCTGATGAGTTGCCGCAGCCCGTTCGCTTTTCTTCCTTTCCCTCCTTCCTCTGCTCCTCTTTTACGACATGATATTGTCCCTGTAATAATTGGTCTTCAACAAACTCGGATCCACTTTCTCGTGAAATTCTCGACGAATTAGAGCGATAACTCGTCTGCCCCCCCCCCCCTCCTTTCCTTCCTTGCTTCTCCGACGGAGTCTTGCCGGTGCTGGTGATCACAGCCCTGCCCGCTGCATTCGCGCCCCTCTGTCCCCTTCGGGAAAATAATGGAGTGTCTTAGGACTTGAAAATTGTGTCGGCGCGCCGCGCTCAACGCTCGGCTCCACGCGCCTCGCTCCACGCCACCTCCCCACCAGCCCGGCGGGCCCCCACGGAGGCCTCACGTTGTTAAGCAAACTGTTGATATTATTTTTAAATTTCGGCGCCGAGTGTCTCCCCAGACCCCCTTTCCTTTTCCCTTCCCGCCAGGTGACCTGGATCCTTCCCGCCCCGCGCGCGCGGTAAGCAACTTATATCCTTTACGAAGTTAGGCGCGAGCGGCCCTTCTCCATATTCATGCTCCACATCAAGGAATTCATTTCGACTAATCCCCCTGGGAGCGAGTGAGCGCGATAGCTTGCGAACGAGAGCGACATGGAGTAGGAAAGACGGAGAGAAAGCGAGCGTCCTGGAGAGAGCGAGAGAGAGAGAGAGCGAGCGAGCTGGAGAGAGAGAGGGGGGCCCACGCGGTATCACCCGGCAGTCCTGCGGCCCCCTCAGATAGCGCGGCCCGCTCACTCGCCCTGGGCCCCCCTTGGATAAGGATGCAGGTAGTACCTGATATCCTCTGCACTTAGGCCCCTTTGCTCGCCCACTCCACCACCCTGCGTTGTTTTGCCGGGGAGCGCGCTGCTATCGCCGGCTCGAATCAGTCGCCCCCTCGTGCGGTGCCCCCGCCCCC